TAGGGTATTAACACTGACACTGGTTTTGCTGAGCAAGTGATGAGATCAGAGATGTAGAGGTAATGAGGTGGTTGCAAACCAGTTTTACACCTGTTTGTTTAGTAACAGCCTGAATGTGTCATTGCTACTGCTGTATTATCTTAAACTGCTGCAACCAGTGAGAGAGAGGTAAGAAAAGTTGCTGGTTACCGATAGTCAGAAGCATTTGAGGGAAGAAGGGGATACCCATCTTCATGGGATGTGGTGGAGGGAAGGAAATAATGCCGGGGCTATAAAAGCAATTTTCAGCAGGGGAAATAAAACCCCACCAATAAAACCATGGGATTTCTCTGCCACTGTACTGACAGAGTCATCTTGTGTCCTGCTGGGTTTAGCTTGACGTCATAGCAACGGCATGGTAGTTTTATACACTGTTCAATTGAGAATGTTTTGTAATTTAGGCTGACACTGTCTGGAAGAGTTTACCACTAAATGTATTTTCCAGGAATTTATTGCTTACATCTGCCTTTACCTTGTAGTAAAAGGAAGGGGTGATGACCTCCTACATCAGCTACTGGAAGAGTTTCCCCACCTGCATATTTCCCACCATACTATGAATAAAATGTGGCAGCAGCAGCTTGCACATACTGGACAACTTAAGGCAGCTTCTGACAGAAACAGAGCAACACTCCAAAATGAAGTGAGCATTCTTATTCTTACCTCGAAGTGTGAGCAGAACAGTTAGCAGTCATCAGTGTGTGCTGCATAATAAAACAATAATAAAATCATCCTGACTCTTTGTATGCAGCATAGATGGGGATGCATGCACATTCAAAGCACAGTATGAAAAGATGTATATCTGAGCTTAGCTAATTAAATAGGGATGTACATATCTAGAATTGCGAGCAGAACTTTTTATCAGCCACTTGAATATAAAGTTCTTTTATATACTAGATTGTCTAGTACTACCTGGGATTGCTATTGCTTTTTATGTAAGCATTCTGTAGTTTTGAGAGCTATTTCTGAACAGTCTTTTAGTTTAAAATAGTTGTAAGATACAAAACTTGATTAACTTATGCATGGTAATTAAACATAAAAACCAAATCACAGCAATGTTTAGAACTCCTACGCACAATGCCTGTCCTGCAGAGGGATGAGGCAATGAACTTTTTTTAAACCTCCAGGTTCAACAAGCCCTGAAGAAGTATGAGCTTCTTGTTGCAATTATTAAAAAAGATCAAGACCATAACAAGAGACTGGTATGTTCTTTGAAGTGTATTTGTTACACAAGAATCTCATGTTGTGCTGGGTACTGCCTATTTTCTTGTCCAAGAAAATGGCTTTTTACCTTATGACAATTTTATGCCTCTTGAGTAGCTGTGGTCTCAAAAGCCATGTAATGTGTTTGCTGTGAGGCTGCTGAGGTCATGGGAATGGAATATTATTATGATTACACTGTGCTGTCGCTTTAAAAGCGCAAACAAATCCTAAGAATGTGCAAGGAGAAACCTGAGGCTTGTGGTGTTGCTGGTGACACCACCAGCTACCATGGCAATGCTGACTCCTTAATTACATAGTGCTCTTGATACACTCTGCTAAATCAGCAGTGACTAAAGCTTTAAAACATAAATGCAGTGTAAGATTTGGGGTAGGGAGAAAGTCATTAGTAAAGGCCCCTATTTATTTATCAGTTATTAACAGCTTTGCCTGCAGCAGTATCTATTGGAAGCTTGGTGGTCTTACAGCTACTGTTCTCCATTTAGCAAGAACTTAGGCAACGTATCTGCAGACAGAAGTGGGCTCAGAATAAAGTGAGGGAGAAACGCCAGCAAGTTGCTCGAGCCAGGAAATACTATGAAGATTACCGGGTTCAGCTGCGTGCCAAGATGATGCGGGCTAGGACACGGGAAGAAAGGGTAAGTACAAGATGTCTTGCTCTGCTAGTGTAGAATTGTTTTTGTTCAACTTCCCGTGCTGAGGACCTATAGTCTTGGTAGTTCACATAATTGTATAAGTAGGTGGAGAGCCAGTGAAGTGAACCAGGATTAAACGGTTGGTCAGTTAAGGCCACAGAGGAAAAGGCTCCTTTTCTGGAAACACTGGTACAGTTTAGGGCTAACCACTGTAAAACAAGAGAGGATGCTTTAGGGGTTAAGAGAAGGAGAGAAAGGGTGAAGTATGGAAAAACAGGGCTGGTAACATGAGAAATTAGGGAAATGAGTTTTCAGAAACAGTAGGATTAAGAAGTTGTTCCTACAGTTACTATCCAAAGAAAACAACCTAAATCTTCTTTTAAGAAAACTGATCAAAAAAACCCTTTGTTATCCAGTTATGTTCTTTAAATGAAGTGAACTTTGACAGATATGATCTCTAATTAGGGTTTGACATCAGAGCTAAGGAAAGCCAGTAAAGTTATTAGACTGTGCAAGAGCAGATACACAATTCTTGCCTTTTAAAAACAGAAGGCCAGAAGTTTAGTGCATAATCCACTATTAGTGATTTGAGAACTATTTGCCTCAAGTTGCACTGTAGCTGGTAAGTGTTCTTGTGTATAAATGGAAAGCCTGAGTACAGGCTGGATTTTTTGCTGTTGGAAATCTGGATGAAGATCGTGATGTGAGATAATATAATGGAGGGTGGGCTGGAAATCACAGTGCCTGTTCAAAGATCCTGGCTTGCATTGCTGGGTTGTCTGAAATGATTTTATAAATGTAACGTACATTTGCTGTTCTATCCCCCTTCTTAGTCATATGACTATAAACTGTCATGAAAAAACTATTTTATCTATCAATTTCAGCTAAGTGAGTTATACAAATAGAGCTGAGCTGTATCTGTCTGACCATTACTAGGTATGTAACTGTACTTCATGGGCAGTGACCTATCTTCATGTAACCACCCTTCTGTCAGGAGATAAAGCAGCTATAAATGTATATAATGTATATAAATGTATACATTTACAGTTTCTGGTAAAGTCTTAGGTTTTCTTTTTTAAATTGCTGACAGATATTTAAAAACTTATTTGAAGAAGGCTTAGAAATTCAGAGGCAAAGGCTGAAGGACCTGAGAGCGTACGCTAAAGAGAAGCGTGCTGAGCAAAGGCAAGAGCATCAAAATGAATTGGAGTCTATGGAGAACTATTACAAGGATCAGGTAAAGCTTGACCTGCCTCAAAGACAGTATTTTTTACACTAAAAGTCTTTCCCTTAATTGCTTCAACTCAAACACATGTTATGTTTAGTTCTCCATGCTAGCAGAAGCTTTATCTCAAGAACGCCAAGAAATCCAAACCAGAGAGAAAGCACAAGCACAAGTAAGTATATGGAATTTTCTATAATGATCTGTTCTTTTCACATGCTGTAGCTAATGTCTGTATTTTCTTTAGATGCTACAGAAAACAAAAAGAGAACTGAGATCAAAGATGGAAAAGGAAATACAGCAGCTGCAAGCAGCAATAATGCAAAGTGATGATGACACCTTTTTTCAAGAACTAGAAGCAGACAGACTGAAATCTAGACTTCAGATGGCTTCCTTTCAGTACAGCAAAAGCCATTTCTTGTAAAACTTCTGGAAACTATCACTGCAGTTCTCTCTGGTGAAGGGGATATGAATCTGAGAGCTGCTGTAACAGGAAGATGGTGTGTTATTCTCTAAAGTACCTGCTCTGTCATTTTGGCATGTCAGAGATGTAGCTGCTGATGTCTACAGCACTTCTATGATCACAAATAAAGTTTTTTAACTACTTTCTACCTTCTTAGCAAGGCTGAACTAATGTTGGGCTCTACACAAAGGAAGTGGAATGAAGTCAGTGTGCTTTAGTGAAATTATCCTAGTGGAACAGTTGAATGCTATGTCTCCTCTAGGCTTGTGCTGGTTCTATTGTGCCGGAGTTAAAAAGCCACATTAATTCCATTAGCCACAAATTACTGAATTGGAAAGAACAAGGAGATCCTTAAAAGAACATCAGTGGTTCAAGTATCCCATGCCAGGACAATTTAGTGAATGTCTGCCATAAATCTGCTCTAAACATCAGTAATTTAAATACAGGGCCATTCAGTCTACACAAAATTATGCCTGCAGTTTTGGTGTTGCTGGCTTGTTAATGGTAAAGCACATGAGGTACTATGTGTATGCTCCACATGTATTGAAAAAGTTTGAACCAGAAAACAATGAAAATTCTTCTAAAGCGGTAAAATACAAGTGTCTGTGAGAACTGAACCCTGGGACCAACCTGTGGACAGCATTCCTAATTAGTTTCAGCAGGGATATACAAGTAGGGGTAGGCTCTGTAGGCTTTTCAATTGTTGGCTTTCACAGAGGGTTTGCAAAACTACATCAACGCATGTGTAAACAAGTGAAGTTTCGTTTCAAATGATCTCTTTCAGAATGGAGCGAAGAGTTCTTGCTTAAAATTGCAGGTGCGAGAAGTGATATAGAAAGACTGGAATTAATTGCCTCCTATATATAATATTTAAAGCTTACCATGAGATGGTGGCTCTTATGAATTAATAAGATATGTGGTGCATTAAGACTCATGCATTGGAAGAAAAAATGCTAAGCAGGAAAAAAAGCCCCCAGCAGCTGGAGGTGCTTCCTTTACAGATTAAATAAAACAGGCAGCAGTTAAAAACCACACCCTGACTTTCCTAACAACCATTTCCAGGGAGCTGCTCTAAGCTGAGTTGAAGTCTTTATCTAAGAGACAATGTTTATCAGCTAAGTTAATCAAATTTAACAAGTATTTACAAAATGTATTTACCTTTTTTCTTCCCTTAAGGAAGATGGTTTAGCTTTGCTGAGGAGACATCTATTCACCAAAGCTGAGATCAAGTCCTTGCTACTACATAAAAGCCAAAAGTAAGATCTTCTTGCTTGACTAGAATGCTCAGTACAATCCTTACTGCAGGTAGCAGCACACAGCAAGACACCAAGTTTTAAGTATTTTCTTCTGAAATAAATACCGAGTTATTTAAAAATGTGATGTTGTTACATTTTAAAGCAAATAATTAAGAAAAACTTAAAACTTTTAAAACCATTTATGCTGTGACAGTGCAAACAGCATACAATTTATTGCTCAACTTCTGCATGGGTACATACATTAAGTACTTAAAAACCATTTTATACAGATTGTTTTTTGTTAAAGCTCATGTAACAGCTGGGTGAAAATACAATGATACCAATGCTAAAACACTCTGTAATAAATACAATGGAAATGATAAACTAAGAACTGTCAGTTTGTGGAGGAGTAATTACACTTGTATAAACTAATTACAACTACAGACAAAGCTCTGAGGATGAGGCAGAGCCAGAAACCTACTATATAGTGTAAAGTACAACAAATGGCACCTGTTAACTATATGGTGCTGTTTAAAATCTGAAGCAGTCAGAGCATGCTACATTTAGCTGTATGATGCATACTTATGATATAGAAGCAAAGCTTTACTTCCATCAATGCAGCCAGTTTAAACGCACCAGAAGTTGAATACAGATGTAGTGTTGTAGAACAAGGATTTAAAAACAGGTTGTGTGCTCTGGACTTTAGTACAACACAAAAATTTGGTACAAATAAAATCAGTTCAGGGAAACTGAAACTATGTGCAAAAAAAAAAAAAAAGATTAGAATACATACTGTACAAAGCACCATTACAAAACTCTTTACACCGAGAAATTAAATCCTCTGAAACTCACCTGTGTAACTGTATATTTGAAATCTACAAAAGTCACTGTTCATAATTAAACATTCATCATGAAAAGCAACAGCATAAAACCATGATGTGACATCTCTCTAAAACAACTAAAGACTGGATAAAGTAAAACCCAGTAAGAGGGACACACTGAAATAAATATTCACATTAATCATGGGGTGAAAGTCCAAGGTTAAAATGCTGTATTAGGCTTAGCACCTTTTTGAGGGGAAAGTAGCTGACATGACCTTAAAATAAATTTTGCAAAGGATGTTCAACCCTTGAACGTTTTCAGATAAACATCTGACTAGGTGATGAGGTGCTTTAGTTAAAGCTCTCAAGTTATTATGAAGGTAGAAAGGCACTCAAAATACTTGGTATGTTCATCCTCATCTGTCAGCTATGGAAGTCAAATGTAGATTTATCTAGTTTTGCCTGTAATATATTAAATTTACAATATTTATCTGTGGCAGTTAAAAATAATTCCCTACACCAAACCAAAATGTTTGGTAGAACAGACAGATGTACTGCTAAGGCTGCTGTGAAAGTGAATGGTGTCCATCAGCTGATCTAGAGTCCATATTCTGCAGAGCTCATCTCCTCCCTCCTCACAAATGCTTTTATGATATAAGGGTGGCCATAACCAGTCATTCAATACATTTACCAGCCTAAGCAGGCTGACAGGGAGCAGATTCCTGGGAGGTGGGTAAAGATGATGGGAGCGTCTAAAGCAGTGGTCCCCAACCACCAGCAGCAGTTCCAAGTAAGGAATACGCTGCACAAGAACCTCCTTTGCTCTCCCAGGCAACCCTGAAGATGTAGTTACAGCTTCTCTGGTGACAGCGTTACCTGAAGGGACCCCAGCTGTAGATGCCAAAGTACCAGCCATTTTACATGAGTGCAGGAGTCCCTTGAAGATAAAAAGGGGTCTGATGTATTTCAAACTGGCTGTCAAAATAAGTTTCTTGGCTTTACGTCTGCATCCCTAAGTAGCCTCATCTCTGCAGCCAGCCCCAAATGGGAAGCAAGTCTCTTAGAACAAACCTTCCAGCAACAGCTGTATAAAACAAAATATAAAATAATCAAATGAACATGTGGATTTGGCTCTTACCACAATTCTACAAAAGCAGTCCATTGCCTGCTATTCCAACACACAACATCCAGTAGTAGTTTACTCACTGTGGCAGTCAGATTTGGCAGAACAAAATTAAGTTCAAGCTCCATAGAACAGACAGAAAATTAGCCAGTTCACTGTGTGACTTCCACTGCAAAAATGGAACAGCTGTTTACGTCCCATTCTTTCAGCATTTTCAATACCCTCGACTTTCTTCTCATTGGCAATGTAAAAATAGTGCAGGTCTGATGATTAATTGTAACCTAAGTTACAAAAACACAACACTGATTGGGAAAAAAAACATGCTACTTACTCCAGATATTCGCACCGCTGAGAGGAGAATGCCACCATCTCTTAAGCAGACTGATTTATCTACACACCATGAGCAGATCATACACATCTTAACTGAGAATTTCCACACTAACTTCAAAGTTCAGTTCCCTCTACTGGTAGTGCATTTTATTCCCCTTTGAAGAGATCAACCCATGTTATAATTCATATATATACTTACTTCCATCCCTACAATCAATAAATTATGTGCTTTTAAAACCTCATTTTCTGAAGCACATTACATATATTTCAGTTAAAACACCATTTTTCCTTAGTTGTAACTTAAACCCACGTGTCATGAGCAGCTGGACAAAGATTACAACATGTTTTACCTGATAAATCTTTAGCATCAACAAATATATAATGTGATTTGGCTGCATTCAAACAAACTTTGGTTGACTGGACAGGATGGGTTCTGAAGCGAACTGCTGACAGGCTTCTGCTGTCAAATACCACCTCATCAGCATGCTTTAAAGGTTGAAAAACGCAGTGTTTAAAGTCAAAAGCAACAAAAAAATCCTCAACAGACTTGTTAGAAAAATGCTGGTTTAAAAAAATCAAAACATCTACTGTTCATTAAAAAAGTCTATCCCACATGGCAACACAAGGGCTGTACCAGATCCAGCATGTGTCACTCACACTAGAAACTTTGTTTAAGGAATCTGACAACTGATATAAATAGGACTCCAAAACATCATATTTGTAATTCATGCTTGAAAAATATAAAAAAGCCCCCTGTGGCAACATTTACGTTGAATTTACATTGCAGAATATAATGGTTTTACTATAAGAAAATGCAGTTAACATGTAAGTGGCTTTAATTAAAAAGAGTAATGATTCTTTCAGCCAATTTTATGCAAAGTTAGAATAATCCAAAATAGTTTTTTTTTCTCCAAAAATAGCAGGTATAGATGCTGTTCAGTATCATACATTTAAAACAGGCTGAAACGTGACTTGTACCGACTGCTGAAGTTGTGTCTTGGTATCTGAGAATAGGAATCAGGTAGGCAAATATAATAGATTACCTTTTACAAAAATAGTAGTAGTCTTTAAGTATAGAATACTGCTTAACTGTTGAAATGTAGGAAAAGTCAGCATTCTGTATGTTCAAGATATTAGTTTTTAATAGCAGCTGAATGATCCTATGGCAGGAACCACAGAACCTATTTTCTTGAATAAAAAAAAACAACACCCAAAAATTAAAAATAGAAACAAAAATTCCAAAGTTGTCCTTTCCCTCCCAGTGTCCGAGTGTAGAAAAGGGAAAGTTTTCCTGTATTTCAAGCATTTCTTGAGTCTTGGCTGAGGGAAGGGCTTTCCGGCTGACAGGAGTATAAATAGAGTCTCAGGTAAGGCTGGGAAGGGTCATTCCACAGCGAACCCACATGTTTCTTCAATGGCAGTTAGCAGCTTCTCATACAGCTTGTCGTAGCTTTCGTAAGGAGGAATGTCTATTCGGTTAAAGCTGTGGAGAGACAGCAGGAAAGGTTCAGCTGCTGACAACTTAAAGCATCACCTAGAAAGTTCTGTTACACTGGAAGTGATGGCAAAGCAACACTTAGCAAGGCCAGCAGAGCTTCATCTAAATAAAAGCAATCTCTACTTTTCACGTCTTTACTACTCCAATGGAGAGCATTTATGTCAGAAAAGGAGGGGAGGAAAGAAATTTATGGAGACAGCAAATTGGCCTTAATCTACAGATCACAAGAGAGCCTTGAAAAAGTCTTACCAGGTGTGAGCTTTCGGCAAATTGTTAGTGCTGGCATCAATCTGGTGTATTGTGAACAGTCGTGGGCCTGCAGCACCTGAAAATCCAGAAAAGAGCTCTACTGCTACTGTGTTGCAGAATATGCAATGTCTTTGCTGCAGGGCAGCATCAAAGTAACTAAAACCACAAAAAAAAACAAAAACAAAAAGAAGCTACAAACTGAAATCATAAACAGGCAGGAAAACCCCTTAAACTCGTCATGTTTATCAGAGATTCCTCCCCTCCACCCACCCACGGTAACCATGCAGCTACTGCAACCACTGAAAGATAAACAACAACAAAGCACTGATAAGAATAAAACACCCGGTTTACTCAGTGCACTATGTAATTCTAACAGTTTTCCATTTAGCTTCTCCCACCCTTCCTTGAGAACAAAATGTATGCAGCTATATCTGTCCCCATTTTACAACAGGTCTTGAGAAGTGGCCAATTCCATTCAAATTCCATAAAGGAATCACAATACCAACTTTGACAACTTTTGTGTTCAGGCTTTGTTTGCCCACAGAAACATGTTATACTAGAAAAGCCATATCCAAACTTACAGGTCAGATGATGTTAAACTGGTATTACTTCAATTACCCTTTTCCAAAGAGCTCACATCAATAGTAGGGTTAATATTACTTGTAACTGTTCTGACAAGGGTAAACAGGTACACAGCTGGACACAAGTCCAAACAGTTATCACTTCAAGTACCATGCTTTGCTTAAAAACCTCAACATTCCTCAGCTTCCAATTCTCCTGAACATTTTAGAGCTCAGGACAGAGGAGATAGAAAATGAGGGCTTCTATCTGATAATGAAGGCATTATTAAGAGGAAACAGATTTCTAGAGCAACTGGTTTTTGTACGTTGCAGGTGTTACCATAGTATTTGTGTTCTGCTGGACTCTTCTGGGTTATGATCAATGTTTCCCCTGGCCCATTTTCTCTCATCTTGTGAAAGGGTGAAACAGGGTAACTATGGCGTTAACAGAGCAGCATGGGTTACAGACAGAGCTGCTACAACAGAGACCCAGAGGAAGTTCAGAAGCCAGGTAAGTAATTAAGGTGACTGTTATGTCTCTTACAACAAAAGCAGTCAGCATTGAAGCGCCTCTGCTGCCAGAATCACAAGAACTCTGCATGTTGGTGTGTTCTGGTCCCAGAGCTGTACAGGTGACAAGGACTTGTAAAAGACTGAAATTAAAAACCAGGCTTCTAGAAAAAACAGAAGGAGAACAGCACCAAGATCTCCAAGATCAGAATTTCCTGCCAGAGAAGGAAGTGCATAATTGAAATAAAAGAGCCATTAGCAGCTAAATGACAAGGTGACAACAAACACACAAACCCCACTATTTGTGATTGTTATTCACCAGACCATTAAAAATCGTGCTTAAAAAGCCAACCAGCCTCTTTTGCAGCTGATGTTTCTGGGATGTGTCCTACTGCTCCCTCCAAGTACAGGCATTTGCAGTTGCTTCCGGAGCAGTTACCTTGTAGAGCCTTGAAGCCTTGCAGAGGCACTCGGGATGAGCCAGTCACAAACTGGAGCAGTCGCGCTCTCCTCTCTTCATCAAAGAACTCCACAGCTTTCCAGAACCATTTCACGATGTTGCTGTCTGGGGTACAGTGTTTTAACCTGGTATTTGCCTTCCAGTCATTAACATCGATTTTCCCCAGTCCACAAATGATGAGCTGGAAGTTTAAAATATAATCAAATATTTATTTCATCATTGATCAATGTAAAACTGGGTTTGGAGTTTGCCAAATGATGCATTTTGAAACATCAACAGATTTTATACCAAAGGCAAATTATAATCTCTCACTAATCTTAAGCAATGCTGGAATATAACTTTTTTACTTTAATCTTACCTTTGTACAAAATGATTTTTCAAATGGCCTCAATTAAAATTTAACAATCAATTTCATAAGCTTTATATGAAAATGTCTTGACCTGTCAATTAAACAAGAAGCACAGATCCTACTCAGGTGTGAAAGTACATGCATAATTCCCATTTGAACTCAGTAGTTCTTTCTGGAGCATAGCTAAGGGCATAGTTTGGCTGGTCCAACCCCAAAGTAATCTTGTTCTTGTCATACCATACACTTAATACAAATCACTTCTTTCCTGATGAAGAGCTGTCAGCACTTCTAAAATGGAAATCCACAATGGATTAGTTAAAGCTCAAACAGGGATGTGATTATGAAGACATTTTCTCATGACTAAGAACACTGGACCTTCCCCTTTCTTATTCTGTGTCTGCAAAATGATTCTGGGTTAACAGTATGGCTGGTTCACTGTATTTGAATGAGAATATCAAGGATAAAAGAAGAGCAATCACCGACATTCTAGTGCAGAAGAAAGCCTGAATAATTTATTTTGTGGACATTTTATACGGCAAATGCCTCAGCCCCACAGCTAACAGACTATATGTCAGATTTCCATTTTAACAAGTTTAGGATTTGCCTTCAGAGGATATTGTTTGGATGCTTTGGATGTTGACATGGTGTAGCACATTTGTCAGTGACAGCACCAGACAGCACCTTTCCTCTTGCTGTATTTACAGGGCAAATTTAGTCTGGCATAACCCAGCTCTGCAAAAACCACAGAGCTGCCTGACAGCAGAGGCAGTGCAGTGCTGGAAGGGCTGGGAGCGAGCAGTGGGAGGTGGAAGGCACTGACAGATTATTTTCCCGGCAGCACTGAATTTAGTGTCGTGAAACTGCACTGTGAGAAACACATCCACCACCTCTGCTGGAGCAGCACTCCCGCAGGTCACTGCAGACACTTCTCTGCAGGTTCAGCTGGGTTTCCAGGGACTGGAGAGGGTCTCCTCTCCTATCACTTCTGCAGTTGCTATGAAATGTCACCTTGAGAAACACCCTCACAGCTTGCAGTGGAAGGCACACTCGGGCTCAGTGATGGCCTGACCTGGTAACCTCTTATGCTAACTGTATGTCTTGCAACAGCGCACCTGCAGCCCCCTAAAGCACTGGGGACACAACTCTGCATGTTACTCAGTCTCTGAAGAATGCCTCAGGCTTTTAGTGTTACACTTGATGACATAACGTAACATTAGTGGACTGACCTCTAACTCCTTCTCATCAAATGTCTTCAGCAGATGTTGTGGGATTACTTCATTAAATCCCTTCTGTAGAGCCAGAAACTGAGCTTCAATTCCTCGTAAAAACCGCCAGTTTACATAAAGCCTGCAAGCAAGTGCAAAGTGGTTTTGTGAGAAATGTGTTCAAATACAATAAACCCAACAATTTACCCAGCCCCCAAAAATGGCCTTGCTGACAGGAATAAACCAACCACCACCCCTGCACCACTTAGAAAACAGCCAACCAGAAACTGTCCATTACTTCAAATAAGTTAAAAATAGATAAAACATAAAAAACTTTGGGAAAGGCATGTATGTACCTGACATATTCCTTTTTGTTGTCCTCTGTCACAGGGATGCTTTTGCCATTGGGTTTCAGTTCATGCTGAATAATTTCCCCATATGCATTGTGTTCTACACAAAACGTATGGTCCAAGACTCCTGTGATATCATTCTCACTGGTGGATAGAAGTAAGTAAGTGACTCAGTGAACATATTCTGCAAACATACTACAGCCATAATTTATCTGTCAGACTTAGTTTTTTCAATAGCATTTCAAATTACTGCTTGGAAGCAAAAGGTAAATGTACATTTTCACTATGGTATATTCTTTAAAACAGTATCAAAGTTTCAAATTTGTATTTTAATAACGTTTTATGGTTAATAATAGGCAAAATTAATAAAATAAAATTTATTAACTCCCCTCTGTGCCCCCAAAAGCCTTGAGCATGTTAAGCCTTAAAGAAGCTGAATTGTGCAAGAAATACGTTTCTTAAATCTGCCTGAGCAGGAGATGACAAAACACTCAATTTCTTTTCAAGTAGATTTAGGAACATTATCACATATTAACCAAGACACAACTCTAACACTGTAGGACACAACAGATAGTACATACAGTATCCAGACTAAGCTGTTATGAAGATCAGGGTCAACCAATTCCATGTCATCCAAAGTAATTGGCTTCCCTAGCAACTGTTTATAGAAAGGCAACGTGAAGCCCCCATCAATATAGTGTCCATGAAACACAGCCATCCCCATGATCCGTCCAACAAAATGGAAATAGGATAAGTGTTCCTAGAACAGAAAGAACAGACTGAGCCATTCAGCTAAATAAGACCTCCAGGTTACAGCTGCTGAATATGAAATATAATTTCAATACAAAGACAAGACAAAAAAGAACTAAAAACCAACCAACCAAGAAAACATAGCCAGAGCTTTTTGGTTTGTCTGGTTTTATGCACCCACTGAAGATGTTGCTTCCAGTCCAGAATCAAAGAAGAAGAATCAAAATAAGCTTAATTTCTCCCAAAGGAAACATAAACTGACATCTTACAGAAAATTAATGACACATTTCAGAAGTTTCTTTGATCAGTATTAAATAGAAATTATCGTATTATTGCACAAATTCAGTCTCTAGCGATACTAATGTGAGAACTGGGTTCCTAAGCCTAGAACACTCTCCAGATGTACTGAATTTCTAGTCATAAAATGATCATTACAGAACTCATGTCACCAGTCGTACCGGGTTGACTGCAGAGTCTGGGTTGATTTGCAGCGTATAGATATCATCTCGGGAGTATTGGAAGAGACCATAGTATGGATTCAACATTTCATGTGACAATAGGTAGAGCCACTCCCTGAAGAAAATAAAACAATATATTGTTCATTTTCTGCAAAAACATTCTTACACTGAGTCTTTTCAAAACCACATGATTTTTCTAATCCTACTGTTAAACATAAACGTGGAGGAAGTTCTCTCTGAACATGCTGAGATAAGACTGAAACCTGAATTATTTTTACTTGCTCATACAAGGCTGGTTTAGGATTCAAAGCATGGGGTGCAGTTGGAGAGGTTGGGGTGCAGGGGAAGAGACAGGGGACTGACTGTTTACCTGGCAACACCTCCATAATCAAGGCCTTCCTCCCCACGAAACTTTATCATTAATCGTTTCCACAGGTCTTTTGGCCTCATCTTCATGACTTGCCTGTAGGATTCCTGTGAACACATAACACTTCATTTTATTAACTTCTATTTACAGACAAGAAACTACTGTTGTTTATTAGAAATGGAGTCTCAGACTCTGAATCTGATACTGTCAAAGAGGATACTGTTTTCCAAGACACTAACCAGTTTCTCAGATCACAGACTGCTACTTAGATTTCTACAACCGTGATAAAACTTGTCAAATAAAACTGATGAGTACATGAGCAGAAGCACCTCCTGTTAAATCTCCAGAGGTGCACAGTGATCAGAACATGCTCCTTCATTCCCACGTAACTTCCAAAAAGTTAAAATCTGAGTCAGTAAACTTTTGTTTTGCCATCAGAAAAGCCAACAGTGGAGCTTCTGTTCTGGGTATAACCCATGTGCAAACCTTCAAGAAGCATCTTTAGAACAGAGGCATTAATGCCATCCCAGTAAGTCTACAGAATTATTCCTCCATCGGTCAACTTCACCAAAACACAAAGAGAAAGCTGAAAGAGGCAAAACAAATGCTAATTTTTAAAATGGAATTAAACAAAACATGTTACTTTTCATTTATGTTTAATGTTGGTGCCCCAGTCTCTGGCTTTGTAGAACAGAAGAGGTAGGTGTGCTGGGGGCCCAATGTACTCAATTCAGTTTCCAGAACTGTGATTTTCCACACAGTGATTTTCACTGCTGTAGAGCAGCCTTTCCTCTCTTTCTTTAGCCGATTATGACTTGATTTGACTGCCTCCAAAGAGAAGACCAACACAAATCTTTCTTGGCTGGAAAAAGGGTGACAACACAGCGGGACTATCCGGTTTGTGGGTGGGGTGAAAATTCAACAGGGATGGGTGGGATGGGTGATAAAGTTCTCAGGAGGACAAACTGTTCTCCAGAAAGAGCCAATGTATTATAACTGTGTTCAATCAATTCAGCAGAATTATTCTGCTGAATAATGACACCAAATAAAATGCAGATATCCCACTGTGGACATCCCTGGCATTCAGTAGCCTAGGAAATGTGTAAAATTGGTCTGATTTGGGGGGATTAATTTAAAACAATCAAGAAGAATTGAGACAGATGCCAAGTAATCCAAACTCCAAAGATGACTGCTATTCAACAGTAATTTTACTTAAATTACAATAGATCAAAGATCATTAATAATTGTTTGGTTTTCCATTTGTAACAGCCCCTCTGTAACAGACATTAGTGTTCTTCTATTCTAGGAAGAAGTGAGACAGTATCTTCAAACACATTAAGTGCTTGAACTCATTCCTCAGTCCTGACACAGTCGCATTTCCAGCCACAGGGAAAGCTTTTCCTCTTCCCGTTCGTCACTGGTAAAACTCCAGCGTTAACTCCAGACTTCAAGATTTCATCTAACCGAATGACTTCTTTAGATGGTTATGAACAACCCCCTCCCCTTCCCTCAAAGTTAAGAAATGGGTCGAGTTCTCAAATTACCTCAAAGATCTCTTCCCTAGAGACCTCAATACGACAATGGCCAGCTTGAGGTTGCTGCTGTGACAGCTCTTGCCTCAGGATCTTGAGCTTCTGCACTAGGTCTCGCTTGTACTTCGGCACAGTCAGACACTCTGCCTCATCTGGAAGCTGACAAAGGGACACTACCTGCTGCTGCTGCTGGTGCTGCTGATCTTTAAGTTGATTCTGGCGGCTAGAAACAAACACAGCTGTTTGCAGATATTCAAGTCAAACATCCCCTATTTTCTTCAGATGTTTCTTAGAGGCTAAGTCTTTGTAACTAAACTACTTTCAATTTACTATGATTATTACTGCGATTACACTAAAAAAATCTGGGCCCACTAAAAAATAAATTTAGAGAGATTTTACCCTGACCAAAGACATACGCTTCTGTCTTTCTTGGCAACTATCAAGTTGCTTTTAGGGTTTGTTATTTCTATTAGTACTACTCTACAAAGTATGTAAAAGGTTACAGCACTGTATAATAAGGTATTATCCATACAATTTTACTACTAAGCTGCTGACTCTGAATTTCTCAGATACCATTTCCATATTTCCTTTGCGTGTTTTGCCTTCCTCCATTTTAAAATCCAGGGATCTGCCAAACACCATGCCTCTAATCTACAGTCAATACCATAGTCTGTTTGAAATGGCTTGTCTGAAAAAGAGTAAGCTTACAAAAAGATGTTTGTACTGGCAGCTTGGCAAGGACCTTGTCCCTTGTACCTGGCCTAGTCTGGACCACAGGAATGTGGGAGTTCACATGTAACTAATTGGCACAGATAAACAAGTATTTTTACTAGCAAGTCTTAGAGATTTTGTAAATCTAGCTTCTGACCAGGAAAAGTAAATGAACAGTGTTGCAGAGATGTCCTCTTGTGTTGTTGCTTGTGGATATTTTTATAGCTTTTTAGTATGGCATTTCCAAACACCGCAGGATAAAAGCTGTATTTTACCTAAACCACGAGAAGAATATCTCCCTGTGGAACACACGAGAATACCCTGAATTTACTGGATAAATAAGAAAGGTTACAATTCAGAATGTTTTCCAGTGGGATGTTAATAAATTGGTTTTTCTACAAAGACCAAAAATATGGAAGCAAATACAGTTTTAATGTATTTTAACATTTCAGGCTATTGTCTGCTTTGAAACAAGGTCTACCAGAAAGCATTCCTGGCCAAGCAAAACTCACCTCCAGCACGCTTTCCCCACAGGGGCATTCAGAATTGGCAATTAAAAGGGGTGGGGGTGTTCCCAGTTTGCCTGTGGCTCTGAACAGCTATTCCTTTATTTGCAAACCTTCTATTTAAAGCAATTTTGCACAAACCACCCTGAAAGGAAACTAAACCAGGTGACGGGGAAATCTTTATCAGTATTCTTGCAAGCTTAATATTTAGAAACCCCTGCAATGGCACACACTGTACATCACTTCAGCAACAACTCAAAGCTGAAGATTAATAATACCTCTTTACTCCTGGTCTTTAAAGAAGAAATAATGTATAGAAATCCTATTTGATTACTATGTCCTAGGATGCAGAACTTCAGAAGTTAGCTTAAACAATGTTGTTAGTTTCATAGTGTCTTATTTGCTTCTGTTACTTAAAAAATAACTAAAAGAAAGCCCAAAACAAGGACACCTTAACATTAGTTGCAAGCTGACCACATTGGTCTTACAATAAACTAGTTATTTTAAGTCATTCCTGAGAAACGAAGTCATTTTAATAATTCAGACACACACACTCGATGTGGTTCCAGAATAGGGCTCTATGTCATTTGTGCTATGTGCACGTTAATTTCTTTCCACTTGTGATTAGGTTTAAATATAAAACTCGCTTAAGTATTTACTTGATATACAAATTAAAGCAAAATTAATTGTTTTATCTTCTGAACTTTCAAATTCCACAACAACGAGCATGTGAAAATAGTCCCTGTATATGCCTACCAGGGAAGGTCAGAACTATATACTGAAGTGTGCACACGTTCATATTACCTTTAAGGGTAAAAAAGGCACAGTCCCCAAAACACAAAGCTCAGGCTTAAAGAAAGTGTAATCCCTGAAAGGAGGATGAATTTAAGATCTATGCATCAAATGAAACCAATCTAAACAGGGCAGTACTAGAAGGACAAAAAAAAATGCCTTCCTCCATATTAGACTAAAAATAGTGCAGCATTAGCAAAATTATCTGCAGTGCTTAAGAGTGATTAAATCTAATTTCTTAGTTTGTTTTCACAGCTGAATAATTCCACTCCACTCTGTACAGTACTTTAAGGAAGTAGCTAAGTACTTTTCAGGTGCCATAACCATCAAAACCTATCACAAACTCTTGGCTAATATTTTAAACAGAACTGGGTAACAATTTGACTGTTTTCATAACCTATAATGTCATCACTGGAGAAACAAACTGCTTTACCCAGCTCTATAGAAAAGCCAGTAACACCGAGAGTGAACTTTTTATTATGCCTTTGAACCTCAACCACTATCCCACCCAAACACTAAATTTATTTATCTGATAATTTATAAAATGAGGGGCCTAAATCAAACTGTTTTTCTCTGTCTGAAAGAACAAATAAAGAGGTGGGTTTAAGGGGGTGGTGGGTGAAGCTTTCACATATCCTGTTTGGTGCAGTAAAAGAATAGATACCAGAAAAGATTTATCAGGAAGCAGGCTTCGCTGATGACACTGTTGGTTGGATTTCTGAAATCCTTCCCTAATGAAAGACAGATGTACAAATCTTCAGCACACTGTACCAGTACTTTAAGGAAATGCAGGAATGGTTCTGTGATTCTGGAACTTGAAAGTCCAATTGGATTTTACAGATAACAAAGCTAGATATGGATTTGTCCCCCACAATAAATGTAGAACTAGCCACTATGACCCGACTGCCATTTAAGAAGAAACCTATCTGTGAAGGACAGTTATTCAAATATAGTCAAATTAACTCAATTTTCTACAGTTTAGGAATTGCACCGTTGTAGCTAAGAAGGTCTAAAGTTTTCCTTTGGGTAAAATATCTAAATCTGAATTAATTTAATGAACTTTCTTGTGTTTCAAACATGAACATGCTCCTCCGCTGGCAAGGTTTTTTTTCCACGATCATGTTCACTTGAAACTACCAATCTAAATGCAGCTAAAATTAGCAGTGATTTCTTTATTTAAAATTAAAAATATTATTATTATTTCTAATAATAAATAAAAGAACTAGTAGTGTCTGGACAAGGGGAGCTTACTTAAGTCCTGTAATATACACAGTTTATAACTAATGATTTATCTAAACAAAATACATATTTGTCAATATTCAGCCTCTCCTCTTGGGGTGTTAAGTTCAAATGTATATTGGGCAGACAAAGGCTAGCCAGCTTACATATTACACAAAAGATACGTCGACCTCCTGGATATTGCTTTCCATTCCACGGTTTTGTCTTTTCAGTGCTTGTTCCCATTATTTCCTTCAGCTTTTCTTCCCAATGACTCACTTCCTTAAAAGGACTATTGCTCCTACTTACTCCTTGCCCAGGGCTGCATGGCTTTCTACCTAAGCAACTCTTCATTGTTTCTCCCACTTAACACCTACTCAATACTTTACAGGTGTTTCCCAAGAGTATTAAAAGGTGTTAGTAGGAGAAACAATGGAGTCAAACTCCCAAACAGCCTGGACAAAGCGATAGCCAGGTCTAGGCAAAAAGAAATGTTTGTTTGCTTTTTGGTTTCCATTTTTAGTAGAAAATCTCCCAGTGTGAAATGAGTGCCAAGGGAATAAAAACAAGAGCCAGATTTTTTTTCAGTTTCCTCTTTTTAGAAATGCAGTATAAAAAAGTGGCATAAAAAAGCAAAGTATTTTATTCATTTTGTTAAATATCAGAGTTAAATTATTGGAGTCTTATTCTGAGAACATCTCAACTGGTCTTACTCTAAAACTGCAGGTAGGAGCTGAATTATTTCTCCTTTATTCCAGGAGAACAGTTGGGTACTTGCGCACCCTTGCCTAACTTGTCGGTATTTCATACCACTGGCTAATGAATGCAACCTCATATTGTAAAACAAGTTCCCCATAACTAAAAGTAATATGAAGTATAAAGAACAGAAAAGAAATTGCCTCTCTTGCACTTGCTGTCCCCAACTCCAGCATCACAATAGCCACATTCCTGCCTAAATGCTGCTAGAGATTTGTTCCCCCCACTTCCAAGAACAATCAAGCCTGTCTTCTTTGTTATGTAACAGAGTAAGGTGATAGTTTGTTAAAGAACACCGACACTGTACTTTAAATACTACTTATTTAAAGGCAGCATATGTCTTGATATAAAATCCAGCAGCCCTCAAGAGTCACTCTCTTTCCTCTATTACACTCAACATGCACTGGAGACTTTAAACTTACTTTAAGACTAAATGCAAGTTAGCAGATAGCCGTGGATCTGTAAACTGCGTTGTCCTGTTGTTATGGTCAACAAAATAAACTCTCCCTGTTGCTGTATTTCGGATCTCCCATCCAGGAGGCAGTGGACCAAGCTCTTCACAATTGATGTTGCTAAGATCCCTATGAAAACAAATATAAAATGAAAAATACCTCAGCATTTGGCCTCGGAGCCAAACAAGCATAAATGTAACAGAACAATTCCATGAAGTCTGAGAAAACGTATTGTTTCAGAAACTTGATCTGTTCAGCTGGAATCTCTACTCTCAAGGTGCAAGCCCACCAAAGAAAAAAAACACACAGCCCAGAACACATGCCGTGGGGGGAAAAGTTCTTATCAAAGAACCTTCCTTTTTACAGACTAACTTCAGATGTTAAATTAATACAGGCTTAAAACAAAAATAAAGGCCCTTGCCATTATTTGCCAGAATGGAATTGCAGTTCTACACCAGTTCTGACAGAAAACATTTTAAAAACAACATTAGTCATGTAAGGAACTCTGAATCACACTTTATAAACTCCTACAAAACAAAACTATACTTCTGAGGAGTTATACTTTCCATGAAGAATTACGCATGGGATATGTGTGTATGGCACAGGCGGGTTTGCCCCAAAACCCCAAGTGCTGGTGGGAAGCAAACAGCTCTCTAACAAAATATTTCAACTGAAATAGATGAAGGATGACTCAAGCTCTGCACTGAGCAATGCGGGGATAGTGGGTCTCAAGAAAATTGAGTTGATATTAGAAGATGCAGATTCATTCCAGAGGTTCACTGAAAGCAAACACTGGTCTTTAAAAATGTTCTTTTTGTGTACATGATTTTTCACATATACGATTCACACCTGAGATACTTCACTCTGTCAAGTGCAGTTCTCTTTACCAGTGTTAAGTCTCCAGATCTCACAGTATCGTTAGAGTCGAGGGGAGGAAAGAGCTGAGGGACAGAATGGCTTTAAAAGACACATCTGCAGAGACTCAAAAGGCGGAGAAGCTACTAATGGAAATACCAGGCTCTGGGACTGAACTTGTGCTGCTATTACCCATACACACACTGTTGTTGAACTGGAGGGCTTACTTTTATTAAATTACTGTGGTGTATTAGCATAAAAATACAATTTCCTTAGAAATGACATAAACTTCATCCTCATGCAAAGAGCCAGATTTTGTTCTGAGACACAGTTGTGCAAGTTTCTGCTGCCACACCTAAGAGCAGTGAGTGCTAACTTAGGTTTCATACAACACCACTACACCACAAACTTAAGGATTAGATCTTAAAGTAAATAAATGTATGTTTTAGAGAAATATAGTTTCTAGCTTTGTATAATAGAAAAGTCTTAGGCTTCCTAACACACAACGGCCAGCTGGATCACACTCTAATGTATACAGATAATGCAGCAAAGCAAAGTATATTCTTGTAACACAAAAGTGATTAAAGCAAACAAATCATTTGAAAATGCAGTGAAGTGCATAAAGCACTTTATCTTTCCTTGGAAAACCATTATCAGTTGCTGATGCTAATTCCCATGGAAAAGTTGCTACAGTTTTCATAAATGCCAATTTCAAACTCCACACACTATTTTACAATGTCATCTGCAGACTTTAGGAGGCAATCATTTTCAATAGGATTTCATGAGTTTCTTTAAAGAACAATCATAAGCTAACAATAATTTTCATTATGCTTCTATAAATACATTAGAAATAATCATGTGTACAATCACGTACAATAAGTACACATGTGCACTGCGTAAATAGAATTGTATTGTTGAATCATAGACTGGTTTGGGTTGCAAAGGATCTTAAAGCTCATCCAGTTCCAACCGCCTGCCACAGGCAGGGACACCTTCCACTAGAGCAGGCTGCTCCAAGCCCCATCCAACCTAGCCTTGAACACTTTGTTTGGTAGTCTGAACATGGGACAGTAATTCTCACAAACAAGTAAATTCAAGCTAATTCAATGATGAGGCTGTAGTTCACTACAAACAGCATGTCTACGCATACAAGGGGCATCAGCAAGATTTTCCAGGTTTCTCCTTTGTCTGCTCCTCCAAAAAAGATCACGTATGTCTAGTCTATTTGTCACCAAGTTTGTTCTTCATAAATACATGCTGCCGATTTCCCAGGTCTTGTTATCTTCCAAAGCCTGAATTAAAAACCAAAACCAATCCAGTTTTCACTGAAGCAGTTGGATAAATCTAAGTTTTTGGAAGTGTTCAGATCCTGCTTTTTCTGTTTCATTATTTTGCACAGTATTAAAAGCTGAACTTGGTTATAACTCATATGCAGGATCTTGAATCAGTTAACTATACCTGTTTTCCGTCTTTGCATTAAAATAACATCTTGAAGAACTGAGGAAGAGACTAATTTATTTTGATAACTTTTTAAAGTAATGTATTAGGGACCAAGAGTCAGCTATATAATATTAGGCAGAGAAAACTCTGAGGAAAGTACTACTTAAACTCTTTTCTTTTGACACTTTAAGGATACTTCCATTATTCCTTACCTAGGTACTCTTGGATCGTGCCACGTGCTAACACCAGTCTGAGTATGCAGAAAATAGACCTGACCTTGCTGAGTCGTCCTTTGCTCTGTGAAATCAAGATAAATTAATAAGAACAAAAAAAAAAGGCAATACAAAACCTCACAAAGACTGTTTTTCCCAAACTAAGGGATCGAAAGGATCTTACATACAAGAAGACACAACCCATTTTCCCAGTTTATTGGGAAACTCCCAACTAAAAAACTACATTCATTTGCATACCATATCCTTCAGGTAAATCGGGAGGAGTGTGCAAGTGTGTCCTGCTCATGTAGTTTCTGTGCCTCTGTGACCTGACTCTCCTCTCTGCCAGCCGGGGATCTGACGACTGCCCGCAGGTCGCACCATTCGTTCCTGTAATTGGAGTGTTCTCATCCGCAAAACAGCTCAGAGGTCTGCCCGGGCTGGAGTATTCACAAGCTGGCCTGTGGGGAAAAATGTGAACAATGTATTGCTGACTAGACATGGGGTTACATGAGAGACACTCTGTAGTAGCTTCACCTTAGGGCTCTTGGGATGTCTGTGGATGGCAGAACTGAGCAGCTGACTTGTCAAGCAGGATAACTCAACAATGGACCCAAAGCTTCTGCTTGTGTCCTGTGCTCACTGGTTCATCCCAGAGCAACTAGTAAACCCGTCATTCCTTCTAATTTTTAAGGAAGGTTATTATGCAAGATAAAAACAGTTGCTCTTGAGAGCTCCACTGCAAGAGGAAATACTGAATTATGTGGTTTCGTGTTCTCAATGCTGTTTTCAAAAGGATTTAAAAAGGGGCTAAAGGGGGACTGACAAGGACAAAGGAAACCCCTGAAACAAATTATATATTTTGTATTTGTTTCTCTACTGTAAACATGCCTAGAGCTTAGAACAGGTATTTTAACACACCACAAAACATATGGATAAAGAAGTTACAAAGCTGTTCAGTACCTTTGCTCACTTGAAAAAACGTATCAGAGCTGGCAGTGTTAATGGTACACATTAAGTCAAATACATCCTTACAGAGACTGGAATAATATTTACTGAGGATGGAAGAGACAGTCTGCAGGCACAGACAGTCTGCAGAAGACTGAAAAATATGCCATGACAGTGTCTACAATTCAGGTAATAGCAAAGCTGGTTTAAGGAACAGCTTCACAATACAGTTATTACAGTTATTAGAAAAGGTGACTGTAAAGATTTCAAAACATGCTCTGTAACAATTAGCTTTAAAAGTTCTGGATTACACAGTCATCGCATGTACGTAGACAATGCCTGTCAGCTGCTCTTGATCTCCTCATCCCTTTCAATGCCAGTACTTAGAGAGTTCTACCATAGCAGCTCAACAAGAAAACAAAGATGCTAGTATTTGGGGTGGAAAAAATTCTAATCAGAACAATTCTTTCAAGTTTAATATCAGGCAGACTGAAAGAGTAGAATGTTAAGACAAGAAAAGCATACTGCATTTGTGGAGTGACTCAGAGGAACACTGAATACCCCTGTGCTAAAGCCACGTAGAACGGCTTGTGCTCGGTGCTCCTGCTCAGCATACAAATTTATATGCACTCATATGCACAGCCTCCTAAACAATTTCTTACCGCGTTGGTCGCTCCCACTGAGTTGTTCGTGTAATATGATTTAAATACTGGATCCTTCCAGAAGCAGTCCTCCGTTCCTCCCACCTAGAATTCAGACACGGAGAGATAAGGCAGTGAGTGGTATTTCCAGGAAACCAGGGCACAAAATGTTTCCAACATAAATGCCAACTCAGGAAGACTTACACTATTATGAATCGTGTTAGCTGAACGAGGTAACAGGAAACAACTGAAAGTTAACTCGGAGCTGATTTTACACACTCTTCCCTTGGAACTACGCATATCATTAACAATATCACACCTTTGTGTTTAATACCTATTAGAATTCTAATTAAATCCCAACAGCCACATAAAGAAACTTCTTGAAAACATCATATTTAATAATGCATTTAACCTCTTTTGGCCACCAATCTAATAAGTGCTTTCAGAGCATCTTCACGCACTACTGGCTTTCATTAAAAAGTCACCAAATAACATGACTTTTTAATTATTATTACTTTTACACTCCAAATTACATCAGGCTACTCAGCTAGTTTTGCAGTTACACAAATAAGTAAGCAATATTTATACAAGGAACGTTCTGAAGTGAAAACTTAAAAGCACTGTCAAAAGTGTTTCTGACTTCTTCAGACTCCCAATTAACAGAAGAATGCTATTTAGGACTTCAGATGGTAATCTGTATTTTGAAATTCATAATCTGAAAGATCAGTTTCTCCTGTCTTTACCTGCCAAGAATCACACTCAGAAGGTCTGTGTTTGCTCTGAAAAAGTTGATGACAGCACTAGAACCTAAACCAGAACATTTTTCTGTATACACAAAACTGGTTTAGGTGTTAATGATGTCATTAACTCTCACAGGGACAAACCAAAATCCTAAACCCAGCATCTGGCAGGTAAATACAGCAAGAACTCAGGCTCCACTGCCTTTTCCAACCATGTCTGCTTCACTATAATTTGCACAGAAGAAAAAGTGGCACTGTAGAAGGCAACCAAGCTCCTACCTTGCTACAAAACTACTGCATGGAGGAAGTCAGTTTGCTGTGACTTAACACTATATTAGTTTAGCAGTTCTATAATTTGACATATCTTTTCTTAGAGAAGTATCTTTTTAATGAATTTACTCATATATGCCACCTCCCATTTTCCAAGAAGAGACAACGCAAGGGTTGTATTATTAACTACTCCTGTGTATCCCAGCTGGCTTATCTCCTGCTCCTAAATCCAAAACTGCAGAACTCTGAGTACAAGAATCAAAGTAAATTAACCTATTTGTACACTGACTTCTCACTACTGCAGCAGTCTGTTGCATGAGCTGTGTCTGTATTTACATCACAGTGATGTCAGCTTACCCATCCGGTAAATCATTGTCAAATAACCGGCTGCAATCCACCACTTGTCCTCCTGTGCCTATTCGGTCTCTGGACTGAAGACTTACTATTAAGATAATAAAAGAATTATTAATTATATGGCATATGAATGCAAATTGCAGTTATATTTGAAAGAGAAATGGTACATCTTGGAGGACAAAGCTGAGCCATGTTCTGGGTATTTTATCCTTCCCACAAATCAAAGAGTTACACAGACACGGTGTATGTTTTCATACATGTAATTCTCTACATCTTACTTCAAGAATACGAACACAAGTTAAGGCAGAAAAAGGAAGTTCTCTCTGATGCTGTCATTAACTTTTCTCTACTTGAGATAGAGTGTGACACTCATCTGGCGTGACTGGGACAGCGCTACTGCCACTGCTAACGGGAAAACTGCTAATAGAAAGAGCTAAACAAAGAAATTCCTGTCTGGTTTTGACTCCTCTTTACATATTTTCTGTGAACATGGGATTCAACACACACATGTACACACATAAAACCAGGCAAAATGTAACTGCTAGAAGCATTACACATCTGATTTATTGACTACTTTGAAACACTGGTGGTAAGAAGTCAAATGCAACTCTCACACAAAGCAGTTCTTAGCACCCTGAAAAGCCTTTACTGCCCTCAGCAAAACTGTATTACTGTTTTTTAAATTTCATTTTTATTTTTTACATGTTTCATTGGAAAGGATATTCATGCCTGAAGATGTTGTACTACAATTATGAAATAAAAGATTTTATTTTAGGCAGCTTTTGTTCCCAGTATCATAATTTGCAAGTGTCCAATCTGATAGTTTATGACACTTGTGTCCCTGTGGGCTTGTTGGGGTTTTTTTGATGTTCTGTTTTGCCTTTAACAATAAAACAATTGCTTAAAAAGCTAAATACGTGCTGTGGCACACATTTCTTGGGGTGGCATTTCTGCACCTCTGGACAACTTGTCTTCAAGTCCTATTTATGTATGCAGTGAAATAAACCTACAGACCTTAACCTAGACACAATCACAACTTTTGCCAAGATCACAGTTTAAAAGCTGTAATAGTACTGGCAGTTTTTGCCAGTGTCCAAATGTTCAACAACAACATGTTTTGAAGCTTTGGATTTTGGGTCTTCAACAGAGCAACCCAGGAAGTCCTGCAGTACCTGTGTGCCTTATTCCTTATCAGTATTAACTCCTGGTCTTCCATAAAGATTAACATTACAAAGCTATGTAAGGACCAAAATTTGTGTATGGCTTCATTCTGTAATGAGTAAGGGCTCATTCTTTTCTGCACTGCCACATCAGAAATAAAATGGTGGCACAGAAGAGAGCTCCAAGATTAAGACACTGTTCAGGTGCCCTCTGCATCTACTACTCACAAGCATCCCCTTTTCTTCCCCTCTTTGAAGAGAACCCCAGGTATTTAAGATGAAGCTCCCCTTGCTCCCTGGCCCAAGTTAAAAAGGCATGCCCACTGTGCACTTGAGCTGTAAGGTTATCATCTGCTGAAGGTATCAATTACATTTTAATATTGTTTTCCAATCTTCCACTGCCTCTTAATTTAAGCCAGTTTATCATTAGAAGGACTGAGAGTATATTTCTAACTTATTCTATCTTCTTGCTTACTTTTCATCAAGATTTCTCTGCTACGTAACTACTGCAGTAGAATTATCTAGTTTTATTCAGGCTCATTCACCCATTCAACAACACTGCACTAGTGAAGAAAGATTAAAATATAAAGAGATTAATAGCAACAATCTAAACAAAAAGAGACAGGAGTCTCCAGAATCTTACCAAGGATACACTAAATTAAATCAAGGCCATGACTGAGGAAACTGACCTTTCTAATAGTAACCCCAGAAAGCAGAACATACAGATTTGTTTTCAGCCTCTACTGTAAGATAGGTACAACACACAATCCAGCAGCTCCTGCTAATGAGGGACAGCCCCAGCAGCATGCCAACAGAGCTGACGCTGCTGTGGCTACACCACTTTTCAGGATCACATCAGGTTAAGCCAGCTGGTCAGTCTAGTTTATGCCCACACTGCTGACTAGTTATCTCTGACAACCTGAAGTGTATCTGCCATGTCCACAGAGCTCTGTATTTGCCCCAGCCTTCCTATCTGACATACCAATAGCTTGGAGACCTTTCTGCTCTGGGGTGTTTCTGGGGTTTCTTTTGCTTGTTTAATTAACACCAGCATTCTCAAGCCATGATGACAAGGATGCATGTTGCATACTCTGGAGGGCAGCATGAGAGCATGTCATGGTGTGAAGGTACAGTCCCTGCAGTGTCATGTCTGAAGGGCTGCTGTGGGCAGTGGATCTCTGCTGCTGGAGCAGACCTTAAACAAGCTCCTCTTAAAAGGGACTCCACAAACAAGATTGTACGATGAGCAGGGGACTGGTATACTGGAGAAAAACCAAAAAGCAAACCAAACCTACAACATATGCACCCTAGAAAAATTACTGTTTTATCCTTTACTCTTCTGTGCAAGCTCACATGGAAAATTTAATACTCAAGAACAGTCTGAAGTGTCAGTAATGCACTTAGGATTCCACATTTTTACCATCATTTGACTCTCATGTGCCTCCTAACATCTTAATATAACACTTGAAGATCAGATGCTAGACAGATGGTTAAAGCAACATAAAGAGGTGAAGTCCTAGGTATTATTCAACAGAACATATTGAGGACAGCAAACAAATGCACCGAAGCCCTTATTTGCTGACTTGTATTTCAACAGTTTCCCTGGCTGACAAAGCAAGAATGATGCTTGGATATTATTTGAACTAGGAACTGACTATAAAGCTGAGCATACAAATTGACTTTTCTTCCCCTCCCCAAGTCCAAATATTCTCATTAACATCTTGTCATAAAAATAAAGACCTCCTCATCCTGATCAGCTATATTTGTTTTTTCTTTTACTTCCTAAGCTGCCTTCTGAAACAACTCACAATGCACCAAAAAGAGAGTGCTTATGAAGCTGTTTGTGGATACTTGTTTTTCAATTTGCCAGCTTCTTTTAAATTCTTAAGTTATTTAAGGTTTATGAGTTTGCAGAATGACAAAGAACAGCCACTGAAGCTGGTGACAGACTTGTTAATAACCCGTGAAAACACAAAATAAATTGAGCAAGTCATCCCAGACAGCAATTCACTCCTGTTGCAGCAAGATGTTTCATCCTTTCGCAAAACCTACAGGAAGCACAGCTTTGCTGGAACTCTCCATGGCCAAGAATGTGTAGTCACTTTTTCACAAGGAGTTCAGGCTCAAACTCTCACCATTCGTTACAGTGAAACTAAAACTTTCTAAATAAATTTCACATTATCTATGGTCTTATCTGTCTCAACACTTATGATATGGGGGGGGGGGGAGTGGGTTGTTTGGTTTTTTTTAGTGGTTTGGGGTGTTTTGTTGTTTGTTTTCATTCTCTACATACACACTTCTAGCCTGAGGTCCAAACGGCCCTGGCACTAGACACTGAACTTAGAGGGGGGAAATCCAGTACACAAAATTGACATCTAGGAAGGGTATCTCTATAGCTACTAGTAAGCTGCAAGAGAACAAAAAGATAAACCCCTTACTCACCTACTATCTGTCCTCTAACAGTATCATTGTCATTTGGCCCAAGCTTGCACAGATCCAATCTCTGATCTAGGGAACAAGGACACACAGAGTAAATCACACAGCCTTTTGCTGCCTTTGAAAGGCTCACTGAAGTACCATCAGAACAAAATTCAGCCTGGTGTAAGATAGTTAAGAACCTGTTACAGAAGGTAAAAATCACAATGCTTCTCTACCAGCATGTCACTTTCTTCTGTTTTGATTATCTAGATAGCCAAGCACTACGTTTCCACCACAGTGCACCAAATCTTGTTGAGAAGTAAATGGCACCCATTCGGATAATGAGAAAACAGCATCTTGCATGTTAATTAACTTTTGAAAAGTAGATACAAAGTGCTCAAAGTATTATACACTTAATATGATAAAATTTACTAATTAATTTTGAAGGCCCATTAATTTTTAAACTACAAATGTGGCTTTAATATAAATTTGTCCTTTTGTTTATCTCTTAAGACTTGCATTTTTGAAGGTAATAAAAAAAAGATAATTTGAAGGCAATTAGAATCTGTCTTCCTTTGGAATTCCAACACACTAAGTTCAGTGTTGACAATCCACAACCAGACTGTGGCACTGACGTTACCACTGTCTATGGTAACAGGGCAAAGGCACTGAAAAGCCAGTAGTAATTTACATTCTCTATCCTACTTGTATTATCCTTGGACACAAAACACCATTACAAACTACCAAACCCATCAGAATATACAAGCTTTACAAAAAAACCAAATAAGTGTCAGTCTTCAAAAGCCTGTGCATGAAAGTCTGGGCTGAAAGGGAACAAACTCTAGTCTTCAGCTTACTTACAACCAGTGTCTTTAAGGCGGTTGATTGCGTTTGAAAGAAGTCTCACACAACCCAGAAAACCAGCTCCCTGCTTTTTATGAATTTTCTTGTGATTCCACACGCTGATTGTTATTGAGTCTGACTTCCCAATGTATCTGAAAAACGTGGAAAAACAGAACTGTGAATGGTACTTACTGAATACTTTGAAGATGCTCCAGAAATCACCTTAGGGGGAAAAAAGATAATCCACCATGACATTAAAATTTAACACACACTGTATTGGCAGAGAGAGTAAGTCATCTTCAGATACGATGTACACACTACACTTGAATGAAAGCATGTCTTATGAAGGAGTTTACTTGAATACAAGCTAATCTAAAACCCTGATTCTGGAAGAAGGCATTCACGTGAATCCAAAGTCTACTTAAATCTGTTTCAAACAGTAACACGAACAGACGGTGAGCTGGCCCAGTGACCGTATCTCTTCAAGCAGCTAAAAACATGCTTAGATTCATGCCTATGCTCAGCCTAACCACAGAGAACAGCAATGCTCATGGCAGCATGTTTGTGAGCAGCGCTAGCAGGCAGAGCAGCTCAAATGCCAGGACAGAAACTATCAGTTCAGGGTTCATGTGCAGCACTTCATCTGCTGCTGCTTTTCAGGCTACTCTTCCAACCACTAGCAATGCAAGTCAGTCTCTTTTAGAGCTATTCTGAGCACTCAGGGAAAATATAAGGCAAACCTAGTTACACATCTGCAGTTAACGAATCTTCGGGAAGTTAATTTGCTATTAAGAAAGCCTCAGAAAGGCCCTGTTTGTAACATACGTTATATATTAAGAATGTGACCCATAACAACAAGTTCATACAGTATTTTAAGTGAGATGTGCCACATTCCCCTCCGGCCCCCTGCTCACATGTGGGTTGCCTCCTTGCAGCATCACTATGGGAAGGCTTTGCAAAGCCTAGATGTGCCTTGCATGGACCTGGGGACACCTGGACACTGCAGGCTATTTTATCTTTGCTTTTTTGTTTGAAGCTCTGCTCTTCACAAACAATTACCGTGTGAGATAGTTTTTGTTTTCAACACTTCCAGAGGACAGTTTCAAAACACACAAAATAAAGGAGCTATTGTCAATACTGAATTATCAGTTATTTCAAACCGAGGAAAATTAATTTGTAACTATGGATTAGATCCCAAGAAATGCTTTTAGTTCTCCCTTCCCAGATCACAAATTTTGACATTCTGCAGTATAGTTCCAAGTGGGTTTTCTTGGTTTTTAAGGAAAAACTGATCAAACTCACTCAACCAACATCTAAAAACAACTCCCCAGCTGACTGAGACTTCATTGGCTTTAAGACATCTTAATAGTTTCATAAAGATAGAAATGATACTGTCAAGGTTGGCAAACCAAACAATTGAACTAACTCTCATGGTTTAAAATTGCAGTGTGATGAGGTGAGTTCTCAATTAACACTTCTCCCCTTTTTTTCTGTTTCAAAAAGCAGAACTTAGACAGCTTCTTTTTCCCACCTGCAGACAGGGACTGACCCAAGAAGACAGAAAAGCCTAACTGTAGGCACATACCCATGAGCGTAGTTTAAAATAACCAGTGCACATGTAAAACAAACCCAAGCAAACCACAAACATCACGCAACACCACCACCACCCCCCCCCCCCCAAGTTTTGTAATAGTAGACTGATTGCATTATATAGGTCAGATTTTTGGCCTTACAACCTTGACAATGCCAGTTTTGCATAAAGAAACAAAAGATGAAGATGGGAATTCACGTGCACAGTTGCAGTCTACAATGTTTCATGTAATTAAAATAAATTCTTATGAGAACAAGTTAGGTGCACTTAAAAATAAAGACTTATGACCTGTCTTGAATTTTCCAGTTTTCCTTGTTGCTTTAAAAAAGTCAAAGGTATATGGTTAAACACAATTTCATAACAGAACAGTCTGAATAATATGCAGAACAGCTGAATATACAACACAGTTTCCACGAATTACTGTAACATTTCAGGGTGAGGTTCTCATGGTTGAGATGCAGACAGTAAGCCATCCATACCAAACAGGTGAGGACTTCTATGTGACTGCTATAACCTGCTATGATTTTTGCACCAGAAAACCTGACTGGTTCATGCATTTAAAAGAAATAAGGAAGACAAACTGCATTTTCCAAATAAAGATGTCTTGGTGTTTTTTTTCCAAAGGAAGAAAAGAAATAGCTCAGTAACTGCTGGTTGGCTTTATAGCAACATGTTTCATCTGCATAATTTCAGGCATGAAAATACATGGTTGCATTTCAAGAGTGACGGTAGGACAAGCTGTCATTTCCAATCCATTCGCTGGAGAAGTTACATTTGTTTTACATCATCTGGCAATAAAGTTCCAACATAAAAGCCTGCACTAGGAATTGTATTTGTTATTAAAAAAGAATGTTCCAAAAAATAAAATGAGTTTAGAAAAAAGAAACCAAACAGAAACAAAAGTCACATCCCCCTCATTTTGATGGATGCTCTCTCATAATTCCTCCTCACAATTAAAGTTCTTCGAGCTTTTTCTTTTACTCAACCCTATCAGCAATGTCTATTTCACAGCTTTGTTACTTCAGAGATAACAGGAACTGGATTAATGGAATGGAAACCTGGAAATTCCATTTCCATATGTATTTTTGAACTCACATATATCCTGAATCTATAATATTCGACTTTGAATAAGAACTGTGTGTTTGGAAAGCTTAGGGAAAAATAGCACTTCTAAACAAGAACCAAGTACATGCCACACTGGAACCCCCTAAAATTTCAAGCAAAATTTAAAGCATAGAGACAACTGCTACTTTGTCTAACTAAAATTATCTTTGCCAAGGTGGTATTTCCTCCTGAGCCAATGTACCACTCAGGAAGGTTTGATATCAAGTGACTTTTCATCCCCATGGCATTATACATGCATTATAGACAAGAAAAGTGGAATGAAGAAAGTGGAAAAAAAATATTCCTGAAAAAACACACCTCTTCCTGATCCCAAGCCAGATGTACTCCCTCCAGAAAGAGAGAAAAATGCAACATCAAGAGGTATGAACTCCGGCTTGGATGCCAGGAATTCCCTATTTCTAATCCATGCTGTCACACAGACTCTCTTTACAACCTGGGCAAATTACTTCATTTGTTTCTACATATTCCCGTTTCTGAAGTTTTTCTAATATAATGGTTATGCTTTGAGAGATGAGCTCTTCAGTTTGGAGGGGAAGAGGGTGTGAAGAGACAACAAAAAATGCCACCCCAATTTTTTTCTCTTCTTTCTCCCTTCACACTGCCATTGCTCTCATCTCTGGTAGCAACTGAAGAGGGCTGGAGCCTTTGGACAGTCACAAGAGAATCAGCCAGAGGCTGTGGCTTAGACAGGAACACAGCATAGACGTGTGGCACTGACTGGCTGCTCCTTTCTCCTCTCCAGTGCTACACAGTCCAATGCTGAGCTGAGCCTACAAGACACTGTAAAACAGCTGCATCAAGCAAACGGCAAGCAAAGCAGGCTTCTACTCCAGATGTTCCTAAAAGACCCACCAAAGAAGTTCAGGATGTCTTGTATATCTGATGTGCTTGAGCTGGCATGGCCAGATCTACAAACACGACCCAGAAATGCTTTCAACCTAAACACAAAGGGCATCATCAAACTGGTCTAAACAACCATGTCAACAAGGCAAAGCTGTTGCAAAGAGCTGCCTGACAGCAATTTAAGAGTCAAATCTAGGATGGGATTGTCTAAACCAGCACTAAGCAGAGCTGTTGCCTTCTCTCCCTGAGAAAAATCCAGGATCATTAGCAAAAACTAGGCAAAGTAGAGCTGGAAGGTTAGGGGAGAAAGGTGATTCTGCCAGGGCAGCACAGGGACTTGAGAATGTGAAGGTACCAAGCAGCACTAGAACCTGCAGGGAGATTCTGGGAAGAGGAGGAGTTATAGGAGTTGTGCAAGATTACATTTGAGAGGTATAACCCAGCAGGAAATGCCAGAGCCTGGGGTGCAGATCTGAAGGGCACAGAGTCAAGACAGGACCAGGACCAGGTTTTGGTGGAGCTCATGGTACAAACATCTTTTAAAAATAAATAGACCAAATGACTTGCTATGCCTTAAAGGCAGAGGGTGCTGGGGAGGACTGGAGTAGGCTTGAGGGCACAGATAAGCCTGGGAAGGCTGAAGCAGATCTAGGATATCAGAACAAAGGGAAAGAAGAGAAAAAGGGTACCTATTAAGTTTCAGAACTGATGGTTAGGTAGTGTTTAAATGCTCTGAACATGAGCAAGTCTGTAAATGTGTTAAGTCTGGTTATTAAGAGCTTTGAGGAAAAGCCTGAACAATAGGGAAAACACAAACAAGACTGAAAATAAGGAAGGGGAATACATCCAGGGCAAGCATGGTATTCTACTGACATTAAACTGCATCCAGACGGCAACTATTTGGCAATTTCTTTCTGGAAAGCCTCCCAGATTCCCACCCCCTTCACACACCCATCTAGGCTGAAGAATCTGAGCAACTAATTCAACTGCTGCATTTCACACTACGATCTGAACTCAGAACCACGTAAGCCAAAGGTAAAACCTTTTTTTGTTGTTTGTAACTGCAGAAGTCTTTAAAAAATCTTATACAACAGAGTGTATTATGCTGAATCAAGTCAGTAAGCCACAAAATTCCTTTGGAATTAGCAACTTCATTCAGACATCATTGCATAAATACATCACAACAGATCCACCATGCTGTACCATTTGCATATGTTATCACATGATACATGAGATACTTAATTAGCAGCTGTGTTAATGTGCTGTACAAATTCCAGGCTGGGGGACATTTCAAGCAGCCCAACACAACCAAGCGGCAGTTTTACTGCACACAGGCCTGTCAGTTATTTAAAAGCTGACAGAAATCTTCATGGTAGGAAAAAACCAAGCAGGATTTTTCTTTTAATAAAATTCACATAACTGCACCTTCCTCTGGTTGCTTTCCTACGCTGTGTGGTGGCAGGAGCAGGCACACTGCCACTGAGACTCCATCTGTCATGCCTGGTGTGCAAAGCATTTCCTGTAACGGTGGAAGCGTCATAAGGAGAGACCAGAGTTCCCATGCAATGGTGTGTTGTTAGGGTAAACATTAGGAACTTTAAAACCCTAGTGTTTCCTAGGTTTGATGAGAAGAAAGACCAAGTTGTGTAATCTACAAGGTTTGCCATCAGGTGCTTATTTTATTCCTGTTCCCCCCAGAAAAGTTGATTATCTTAATATCTGGCGCAGATGAAAACCTGAGACCTGACATCAGGTATACTACAGTAAAAAGCTACCTTAAAAGGCAGGCCATGAGTTGTTGTATCAAAGAGATCTAATATTTTACTGCTGTTTTAAATAGGAACTGAAGACTAAGTGACTGATGTTTATCAATGGAAATACATTTTCACAGAGTAATGAATAACACACAAGACAATAAAAAGGGTTAAATTATTACAAAGAAAATTTTGAGAGGGAAAAGATTATTTTTAATAAATAATTTTTAATAAACTCTGGGATATTTTCCTAGCTGTAAATAGGACATTATTATGAGTATCTGACAATTTTGTGTACTTTAGAGGATTTCACTTCAAACCTTTGGTTATCACTGTTACCACCTACAGGTCATAATGCTGATTCCATTTTGGATCAAGTGTATTCTTCACAGTATCTGTAGAATGGCATTGGCCAGATCCGTCCACCACAACCTTAGCAAATGGATCAGGAAGTCCTAAGAGGAGGAAAACAAGAAAATTATCAAATGGATCAGGATGCTTTAAAGTCTCTTATCACTGCGCTACTTTAAAAAAAGTAAAATACTTTATTTGAAATTGCCTTTATTCCTAAATGAGGGCCATGTTTAATGAATGGGAATAATGTAACATATTAACACAGGAAATTACTAAATTAGCAACTTATTTTGCTGATACAGAGTAAGCTGTGCAAGTCAAGCATGAAGGAAAAAATAGTCTGAACACCTTAATCTTTGTGATTTAGGACTGAGTAAACTCTCGGCATACAAAGTATTCAGCAAAAGGCAGAGAAAACAGATTTATGCTCTTCTTGTTTCTAGGATGAATTAAGATCATGATTTTTGGTTGTTACTGGTACTACAGAAAATCACCTATAACAGGTTATTCTTGCTTTTGAGGTCCACTTTGCTTTCTACTTCTTTTCCTGCCACCTTAGTACCTTGGAAACACAGAACACAGGTTCAACAAAAATTAGTGTAGAGATGGTGACAAACTGGGCAGCTGAGGCAGGGAAAGAAGCAGGACCAGAACAGCCTACAATTAGCTTGACTGCAACTGCTATTCTAACCGACCCATTAACTGACACCAAAAGGGATGGTCCCACCACTAATGCCCCTAAGTCATGTGGTCCTATCCTTTTTTCCCCTCATACTAATTCCTCACCCGAGTGCCCAGTGAGTCAGCTGAAAGAACTAAGGTGGTGAAACATTATTCATATTTTCTGCAGCACAAGTTTTGCACCAGCTCCGCTTCCTCAGGTGACTCAGATGGAGTCAGTCAAGCAGCAGTGGCTCAAGACAAGTGTCAGACAAAGCATGTGGGGATGAAGACAAAGCATGTGGGGAAGGGGAAGAATAGGACCTTGTGATTTCTGCTTCAGCACAGAAGTGCATCACAGGTTTCAAATCTTGAGAGCGTTTTTTAGGTATTATTAAACTGTTAAACACCTGGAAACTTACACCAATACAAAAATCCAGATATAAAGCAAGTTTTAGAAGTTTCACAAACTCCAATATAAATCTGTATCATCCATCCCTTCTTCAAGTTCTTTTCCATATTCTGGTCTGATGTTTTGAATTTTGCCCAGTCCCAAGTGGGAGGCAGCAGGCAGGTGATGTGTGTGTGCATGCTTACACAGCCAATAACATTCCTTTCTGCCTCCTTCATCCACCTCTTAGCACTTCTTTCAAAACATTATTAAAATTAATTAAAACATAATGTCAGAGGAGGCAAGTATTATGACATAATAACTAAGATGTACCTCTGTCTGCTGGACAAAAAGTTCTTGTATGAAAAACATTTTAATAAATATGTGTAACTGAAAAACATGTAATTTGCCTGAGAGAGCAAATTTGTTTCCCACTCCCACCAAAACCAGAGAGAGTGTGTCAGGGTTTTAATTGTTATTATGAATCTGTGACAATTGTCACCTAAGAAAAAATTAGAAGCCCTGAAATAAAATGATGTGAAAACTTGAAAGCTCCCACCCCCTTAATGCAAATATCTTAATACAATGATCACGTGCAAACACTGATGTACAGAACCTGCAGAATATATATCCTGTATATAAAAACTTTAACAGCTACTTACTGAAAAAATCCTTTTTCACCAAGTTTTTTGCACACAGTACTGCAAGAAAAACAGAAATACAAGATAAAGTCACTGATCCCCAACTTTAAAAAATTACTTTACCTGTCCAGCATTCCAGAAAATCCTGTCCAAAATGAGTGAACATGACGAATTGTGCTCCTACATCACTTACATTGTCATGTAAAATAAATCCTAGAAGCTGAGCCAGAAGTGTCATCTTTTGGCAGTTCACCTTCAGGCAGATTACAATACAAGTGATATGGTGGTGCTATCGTCAGGCAATAGTTTCACAAGCAATTTTTTTCCCCCTCAATTCTTTTGCCAACTCTGTGTTTACACCAAGTGAGGGAACTGGACCATGTCTAACCAGCCCAGCAAACAGTGGCACAAAACATTGTGCTAGAAAAATTAATGGCATTACACAAGCAGGATATTATGTTCAGATCTACAGACCAGCAAAAAGCTCCCTTGACCATAAGAAACAGTGCATCAGGCAGTTCAGGCTTTTCTGTTCCCCTGAGTGCTAACTAAATAAACATTTTTACCTGAAAAACATTTGGGTGGAGTAGACTAACTTCCAATGCGAGAGGTTTGATGGCTCTGAAGATAATGTTTTATTTGTAGAAGCTAGTAACTATTTCAGTCTTTTTTGTTTAAAATAAAAAGGGAGGAACATTTGTATCTGTCAACTAAAAATACCAAGGGGAAAACCATCTCTATGAGAACACAGTAAGTAATAAAGAAATAAAATAAATCAATAAATAAGAGGTCAAAAGGACAACTTTGATACAAGGATGCCAAGGTACACATTGAAGACTTCTCACAAAACACACCACTGTTCGACTACATATGCTTATCTATTGTCACAGGTTTAGTAAGTAGGAAATACCAGACTCCCCTGTGAAACATTAAAATATTTACTGATAACACACAAGGATTCTTACGTATTGAGTGAAGCATGAATTCCCACAGCTAGCACAAAAAGGAAAAGAAAGGAAGGAGGAAAAGGTATCTGGTTGGGATCAATGCTGCAAAAGACTCCTCACTGTAGGATCCCTGTGGATATTTCTTCTATGAGATTGCCAGTATTAATTACTACCAGGAAATGCAAAGACAGAAAAGTGCATCCAATAACCGCATCCCACAGACACCGCCTCAAACCAGACAAAACTGCTCATGCTTTCTCCACAGAACATCCTCACAGTGATCCTGCAGTGTTGCACATTCTCCAGTTTCTTTTACAGCATCTGCCCAAATAAGAAGTAGAGCAGAGGTTGTCCGTGAGCACTCTGATGGAGATTTCCAGGATCAGGGCAGAAGGAGTCGTTCTGCATGCTAGCACAAAGCTGCATATTGTCCTAAAAATCCAGGGAATTATTTTCCCCCTTTTTACGTTCATAAAGATGTTGATTTTAGTGAAACTGCTTTCCACGGGAATGCAGCACTGTAAAACCTATTTAAAACTCTAATGAGTTTTAGTCCTCTGTAAAACAGAACGGGACACCTATTAATGACTTACAGAGAGCCAAACATCTCGGGTATTTCTGATACCTGGAGTTCAAGCATGCACAGGAAACAGACTGTCACATCACTGCCTGCTCCACAAAACATTCAAATAAGGTCCTTAGAATGGTGTAATAAAAATCCACAGCTACTGAGCACTTCCATGTGCCCAACAGTTGAAAGTCTACCCATACAATTGATACCAGCTTAGAAGACATTACAGAAACAGATAATAAGATAAACTTAGAAAAATGCTTCTGCAGTTTTTATTATACCAAGAATATGCTCAGCCTGGGCTGTCAACATGCACCACTCAGCCCAAGAACTGAAACTCATCAGCCAACTTTCATCTAGTGGTGAGAAACTTAGAGTAAAATAGATGCTTACATAGATGGCCACTGTTTTAAAGATCCCCAAAGATATAATTATTTGCACAATTTCACCCATTATAAGAAACAGGAAGTGTCAAGTGAAGCTGAAGGCTTTAAATCCAATAGTTAAGTCAAAATTCATACAGCATGTTTTGAAACTGTATCATGTCCAAAATAAAGGTTTGACTAATCTTTTGAGAGACAAATTGCAAGGTTAACTAATTATAAACACTTATTTTCAAAATAGAAAGCAAGCCTGCCAGTGGGATTTAGCCAAAGTCTCATTTTTATAAGACTGGGCACACACACAGCATACAGACTAATAACCGTTTCCCCAACAATTAGCCACGAGTGAACAAACTAGTATTTTTGGCTCAAGATTTCTTCTCTAGTAACCACATTTAAGGGAAGTCAGATGTCAACCCACTCTGGCTTTGTCAGGTTAACAAAACAGGAGAGATGCTGAAAAATCTTCCATTAACATCACCCTCTCTGCCAGGTATTTCTAGGTGAAAAAGCCTAGGTCCCAGAGGCATCAACTCTGTTCTAAGGGAAACAATCTTGCCCATGCACAGAACTCTGATCTATCTCAGGACTCTTTTTTTGGACAAAACTTTTCCCACTGGTGCAAAAAGTACCAGAGTTTATGCTCCACTTTTCTAACAGTTTCAACACTGTATTATAACCTATCCTGAATATTCTGATAACCAACTGATTAATAGTTCCTTGAGAATAAAAACTAAGGAAGTTTGGTTTCCTATGGATTTATGTTTTATGGTTGACTGAAAGCTACAGCTGAGGCTTTTCCCACTGGTAGGGCCTTTAGACAGACACTCGCCAACGCAGACACTCCAGTGCTCTTGCAACATGGGATCTCTTGCTGCAGCTTTTTCCTCCCATTTCAGGTCACTGCTAGGGGTCTCCTCTCTATCCAGGCAATGATTCTCAGAAAACTCACAGGACCTAATTATCTTTGAGGCCTCTTATCCTATGTCAAATTTGAGCTAAAGAGTCAAAAACCAGGAAGAACCATAGCAAGATTTATTTCCCTTGACAAAACCAAGTTAAAACATTAATGGTTCTGGACCCAAACCCACATCATTATCAGATCTACACAGCTGCACCATTAATAGATCTTCTAGAGGCACAAGGGCACTGACAAAAGTTATTTGTTATTTGTATGTGCTTGCTTTAAAACTTTGATTTAAATTGTTTTGAAAACAAAAACTCTTCAGCTGAATTTGCACAAAAGGTTTTCAGAAACAAGAATACAAACCAGTGCCTGCATATATCAACACTAGTTTGGAACAAAAAAGGGGTGGGGAGCATTGTACCATAAGTGCATTATCAAAAGACATCAATGGCTTCTAGTACAGATATGTAGATTAAGTATTTGTTACAAAGTATCACTGAGTCAGTGGATAGCTATGTTTTGTATTTGTTACAGACTTCCTGGGTAGTCTACACAGAAGAGAACATTAATATTCCAATATGAAAGAACAATATATACATGCCAAGACAAACACGCACATCACTTTTACATACTATACGTTCATTAAATCTCTTTGCCGTGCCTCATGATCTCATTCAAACATATGCTACTCAAGTCAGGCCACAGAAACATAATATTATAAAGCTTCCTAGTCTCCTTCCTTGACAGCTTTGCTCACATAGTTCTCAAATACTCAAAAATAGGAATGAAGTGAACCACGTTTGCCAAGTTCCTTTTTCTGATTTACTACTCCAGTGACTGACACAGAATGAAAAATAATTTGACCATTGCAAGTAAATGCAAAATATTTACTATCCTCCAACTCCTGTAATCTAATTTATGTGTTAGCTATTGAAATTTACATGCAATTAGAGAGAGGTATGAAATAATCAGTTGAATCCATAAAGTGAAGGGAATGTGATTATTGCAAATGTGAATTTTATAAGAAGATAAATATTTCTCTCATTTTCTGAACTTTTCCGACTCTCTTTGCTGGCTACTGAAGAACTCATTACAACTGCTTCTTACTTTGGAATCATTTTTTACAGAAAAATCAAACTTTTTAGGACATCAGACTGTTGTCATTGAAGGTACCCCAGGTTACACATTGCCACTATTTATGTAAGTGTTAAAGAGTATGTTTAGTTCAGACTAACAAGTATGTCTATAACACAAGGTCTGCATTCTAAAGGGAAGAACACAAAGAATGTGAAATAAAGCAGAACGTAATTGTAGGAGGCCTACGATGAAAACAAGTAAAAAGTGATAAAGATACATGAGATTTCACAGAATCACCACATCTTAAGTCTGCCTAAGAGATTTCAGTGATTCACCTTCAACTGTTGGATAACAGACCTAGAGTGAATGTTGAGGAAGGCAACTTTAAAAGAGAAAATGTTACCTCAATTTAAAGAACGTGGCCATTTAAGGGTAGTGATCTTGTATTTCCAACCTATATCAAACTGTTTATTCAATCTATATCAAACACATAACCAACACACTAAAAATTAGTAAGTGACTTAAGAAAACACCCCCCCATCTCATGTCAGACATCCATAAGCAACCAGTACTGAATCAACAGACAGCCCTGAGTTTATAGAGGGGGAAAAGAGGACCGGTCCAAAGCTAAGATTATGGTTTCTAATCTTCTAGGTTTTCATGTGTCATCACCATAGAACTAGCTCAGCTTTCTGCATCCAACCAACAGTTTGAACATTATAATTCTTGTTGTTCTTTTCTTTCCCCAAGGGGTTCTCTCCAGAAAGAGTGCTTGTTCCAGAACATATGTAGCACATGGGATAGCGAGGAGAAAAACAGGCTGCCTATCAATTTTTACCACAACAGTTCATTTTGAAGACAAGTCTTTCTTCCCCCTACAGAAACACCATCTTTTAATGAAAGCCATTAGCATTGCTTTTTGTGATCAGATCCCAGTTGTTTGCATGTAACACACAGTGCAATACAATCACTAAAATAAGTCCCAGCTGTAGAAACACAATGCTATGCTGTTGCTAATGTGTGTTGTACTGATAATGAATGGTCGTCTATGCTTTAATCTGAATAAAGCTCCCAACTGCTCTGCCTCTCCTTGCCAAAAATTCCCCTTCCTCCTCCAGACTGTGGTTGCATTCCAATTACACTGCTGATTGGAATGAGCCTGCTTGGGGGAGGGA